CCTTATAGGATCTGTCCTCCTGGTAAGTCTGCAGTAGCCTCCAGAGTTCCTGAGGGTTCCTGCCTGCCTGTATTAGCCTTACCCATTCCACATGGGAGCTCCCAGACTTATCCACCAGCTCTCCTTCCACCATGCAAACCTTGTTCTTGTGCCCAGGCTCCCTGCAGTCTAACAGGTAGTTGCCCAGCTTGAAGGTGCGGGCACGATCTGAGGCGCAGGCCGGCTGGGCTGCAGCACTCTGCACTCACTCCTGGTATTGTTGCCACTGCCACCACCAGGCAGGGTCCTCCTCAGGGCGCAAGTGACAGAGGCTGAGTCATTATAATCTCTTGTTTCAAGTCTTTTATACAATACCTGGCTATCTGTTCTCAGCACAAGAACAATATGAAACCAGCATTTGGGAAAGATCTCAACCATGGCAATCAACAAAAACTCCGCCTTCTTTCATTGGATTTTTCTAACTCATGCACTACTCTATATTCATCTAAAATTGGACAATCATATTCTTCATCATAGCCATTCTAGAACTGCCCTTCTTTAGCTAAATCACCCAAATGAATGTATTTCAGTCCTGATCTTGAGACAAGTTCTTTGCCTAGTGTGGTTTTTTCCAACCCCTAGTGTACCAGTGAGCAACATGTTCGGCTGCAACATGGTCCCCACCGTGATGGCACTTAGTCCCCGTGATTTTCAGATCATTTTATTTAATTTGCAAATTGACCCACCAGATGCACCCAGACAAAATATGACACAAAAATATTTCACTCATTATGCATTTGAACCACAGCAGGAACATTGTTATCATTATTAGAATTCAGTGAATGATGTTGCTGCTGTTGTTTTGAATATGTCAACCCAACATTCTCATGCAAGGTTTTAAAATTTTTAAATATATTCAACATAAAAAATATTCTTTCTCATTTTCTGCTTTTTAAAAATTAATTTTAATGAAAGTTTACAGAGACTTAGGGTTTCCAGTCATCATTGTTGCACTTTTCTCCCTGCCCACTCCCTCCCCCCGAATTCACCTTTCTCCTTGATAAGTAAAAGAAGAACTCTTTCATTGCTATATAATCCCTCCCCCAAAATCCATTGCACTGTGCAGCCCTCATTCTGGACTCCTGTCATGACAATAATACCTAATCAGATACCCCTTTTAAACAGTTCTTTCCCTCATCTGTTGCAATGCAGTGTACATCATTCCGCTGTTTCTTCTCTGTCTTCCCTCAACCCCAATTTCAATCCCGTTTTACAATAGTGGCCCTATGCAATATTTGTCCTCTTGTGACTGAGATTTTTCACTCAGCTTTTAAGGAGGTAGATCTTGGTAACTGGATGGTATTCAGTTTGCTGACTAGGAAGTGATGGCCTCGTTTTTACCCAGACATGGGTAAACCTTGAAAACATCTTGCTAGGTGAAATGTTATGTATCATCGAGTCAGAACTGACCATAGCAGACCCTCTAATGGGTTGTCAGTGGCAGGAGATCACATGGGAGGAGATTGCCCATCTTTCTCCCACAAAGCAACTGGTGGATTTGAGCCATGTGCCTTCAGGTTGGCAGTCCATTTCTTACCACTAGGCCACTAGAGCTAAATGAAATGAGGTAGACAATAATAGGATACGTATCATAATGATCCTACCTAGCAGCGCAAAAACAAAAATTCTCACCACTGGACAGATAGATAACATGATAGATGGAGAAAAGAGTGAAATTGTCAATAACTTGGATCCACATCAATACACTTGATGCCAGCAGTCAGAAGATTAGAAGGTGTATTGCACTAAGAAAGTCTGCAGTCAGGGACATCTCCAGTTAATTATGTTAGATTGAGGACTAATTTCAGATCATGTTCTTTTCAGTCACTTGCTATACTGCTGAGAGCTGGACAGTGAATAACATAACAAGAAAAAATGATGCCTTTGAACTGTGATGTTGGAGAAGAGTACTGTACGTCTCATGGATTGCTAAGAAACAAATAGATATATCTTAGAGAGTGCAGCCAGAGCGCTCCTTGGAGGCAAGGATGGCAAAGCTTCATCTCACATACTTTGGTCATGTTGCTAGGAGAGGCTGTTCCTTGAGAAGGACATCATGCTTGGAAGTGTAGGAGGTTGGCATAGGAGAAGACCCTCAACCAGGTGGATTGACACAGTGACGGCAGCAATGACCCCAACTGTGTCAGAGATTGTGAGGATGACACAGGATAGAACAGAGTTCAGATCTGTTCATATATGAACAGAGTCACAATGAGTCATACTCAACCTGATAGCACTTGACAACCGCAAAACTAAATATCAATGAAAAATTATAACAGAAAAAGAATCAATGCCTTTGATGCATGGTGTTGGAGAAAAGTATTGAACTGCCAAAAGAAACAAGTATGTTTTGGAGGAAGTGTTACCAAGGTGCTCCTAGAGAAAAGGGTGCTGCAATTTTGTTTCACATAGTTTTGAGTATTTTGTTAGGAGGGAACAGTACTTGGGAAAAGGTAGAAGGTCAGATAGATTGAGACAGTGACTGCAGCAATGGGCTAAAGTATGTCTGAGATGATGAGGATGGCACAGGATAGGACAGGATCAAGGCCTAATGTTCATGGAATTTCTAGGAGATGATGACACATACATCAATAGCCTCAAAATCTAGATGAGGCAAATGCTTAGAAACCAAAGTTTATTAATGTTTACTAGGGACTGAGAAAATAGGGAGTTTTTAAAAGATACTGAGTTTCCTTTGTACTGATAAAAAATTTTTGTAAATAGATACTAGTGATTAATGTACAATCTGATATATAGATGTGCATACTTTAAAATGGCTAACATCTTACACTAAAGTTACTTTAAAAATCTTATCCATAGGGTGCATATCAAAAGTAAGAGGTGTGTGTGGTTGTGGACATGAAAAACAAGGCTAATGACCTGAAAACTGATAAGCTAGGTAGAGTACGCACAGGTTTGCTTTGTACTATTGTGTTTTCAATATGTTTGAATTTTTCTATAATAAAAAGATTTTTAATACATTATGGCCATTTGACACACAAATTCGTGAAGCATTCCATATTTTTACAGAATAGGAAGGATTGACCATCTGCTTCCAAAATAACAGGCCTTCGAAAAACCTATGTACAATAGAGCACACTTAGACTAGCAGACATGGCAAACATTGGCACAGGACAGAGCAGGTTTCAGGGCTACTGTACATGGGGTCACTATGAGTTGCAAGTGCCTCAATGGCACATAATAACAACATAGCCATTTAGGATTTACCCCAGGAAGGAGGCGAGGCCATGCCTCAGGATGAAGCAGATGCAGGGTGTACTATGGAAACCTCCCGTCTTCTTTCTGCACTCTGGTAAAATGAAATTTTCACTTTGCTTCTTAACTAGTCTGAACAGATAAGGTGGAGTTTTTCTAGGTTTAAGAGTAGGGCCACTGACATAGAAGTTTATGTAAATATTCATCACACTTGAGAATTTAAGGCACCTAAAGAATGCATGCTGTGTAATGAAAAAAGATTTTAAAACATACTGTAACCAAAAAAAGCATATATACAAGAGGGAGATGATGTGAAAAGAAAGATACATAGTGGTCTTGTAGTCCCAATTTGTATTTTTTTTTAAATTTTTTATGTATTTTTTTTATTTCAATGAACATCTACAGAGACTTTGGAATTCCATTCATTCATTGTTGCACTTTT